AATATGGTGGGCAAGGCAGCAAAGGGTGGGGAGCATGATGGAGCTCATCCTGTGGTCCTAGGACTATGTAAGGGAGCATTCCTCTGACCTCAAGCCTGTTTCTTGCCAGACTTTCTCCCAGGCACAGCAAAGTGAGAAGGCAGTATCTGTGCATAAGGACCATATGTGGAGAGGAAGCCCAAAGCTCCTGGGAAGCCCCAGGTCTATCCTGTGCCTGCTTTGTCCCCGTTCAGTAGGACCAGGCACATTGTGGAGATGAGTGGGCATTACTGTGCTCCTGAAATTCTGCGCAGCAGCAACATCTTGTCTTGTTCAAACTACAGCTACTCTGACTCCCCAGAGTGTTAGTGAGCCATTTATCATCTACAAAATCCATTTCCTTGTTCAGAAACAGTCGTGTAGGATCTGCTCAATTAAAGTCAGTAAGATCTTTTCTATTGAAATAATGGAGCTCTAAATATTTTAATTTTATATGCTAGCAAATGATCATTAGTGGAATAACCAGGACATCATGCACCGTTGTTGTAAACCTGACAGCTACCAGCAAGTCCTGAACTAAGCTCTTAAGCATCTCTAACTAATACTCCTTTTCATTGTATGAATTTAAAAAGAACAAACCTGAACTTTGTAAGCTGCTCCAGTCCAAATTACAGGGCTTCCTATTGTCATGAGTGAGAATGAGAACATCTCTCTTCTCCTGAAAGTAATACAGCACCTGAGACTTGACTGATAACTGTGCTGTTGCTATTTGAGATTCACTAGTTAGAATATGAGTCTAGACCCAGAATATCTTTTCATGATGGTACAGAGTACTATAAAAATGGGAGAGTTTCATGAGAGCTCAGCAGTTCTCCAAAGGTTTGTGTTCTGTAAAACAAGATTTCTCCTACCTCCGTTCTGTACTCATAAAGGGTCATCTCCAGCCTCCCCATTTATTGTTCCCTTTAAGGAACAGTCTTCCAAAATTCAGAAAGATGGTTCAGAGAGTTGCGTTGCCCTGCGTAGACCGCCTGCAGTTTGGTGGCCTCAGTAATTAAGTCAAGTTTTAAGATAAAACCGAGGTCCCCAAGTCATTTGAGTGCTTTTGAAGTATTACCCCAGTTCTTAACTGTACACCATCATCCTTTCATGTGATGCATTAGAAAGTATTTAAACACAGCTTCCACCACTCTGCTGGATGGTTTTTATGAAAGTGTGAGTGGAAGGAAGGTGTGCTGATGGAGCTCTCCTCCGGTCTCTGCTGGCAGCCCTCAGGAGAACAGGATGGCCCTTGTTTTTTATTCAGCAGATGAGACTGACCTTACCTTCAATTAATGGCTCAGCCATAAGTGGGTAATGAAAATGTTCCTGAAGCATGCTCGTGATTGCATTTTTAAAATCCCTATCTACCAGAATTCTGTATTGGTTGCAGAATCAGTCAGTATTGTAATTTAAATGCTTTAACAGCCCATTCATTGTCCTGAACACAACTAACTCAGAGCTTCATTAATGCTGTTTTAAAGCACTGTAATTTCAGTGATGTTGCTGGCACAAGATCCAGCCCAAGGCTCTTAAAACCCAGCCCTTTTCCAACAGCAAGTGATTGAGGACAGGATAGGAGGAAATTAGTAAGAAGCCAAGAGTGGAGGTAGAAGGGCTGATAACACGATGAAAAGGTAGGAAAACAGTGTCTCTGCTTCCAGGTCAGGCTGCACCACCATTGATTTCAGCAGGTGGGTGAAGAGTGGGGTCCCCTATGCTGTCACACAAAAGTTTTGCACTGTGGCTCGATTCTTCTCCATATATAAAGGGCCATTTTAGTTATTACTTTTCATGTATTATCCTTACATGCATTTAAGGCAGATGGATCCTGTTTATGTATAACAAGAGAGATTCTTGGCAGCTGTACATTAAAAAAACTACACTGGTTTTCACAAACTGCGAGTTTGTTCTAGATGAAGATTTAGCCCAACATTAGTAATTCAGGAATCACTAAACTTGAAAAAAAATCTATAGCAGTTTTTCATTGTAATATTGAGTATACAAGTCTGAACTTGATGGGAATTTGAATTCTAAGTCGTATATCCTCTGTATATTACCTAAGTACATTGCTCTTGCTCATGTACAGCAGACCATACTAATTTTTAGTTCCTTACCTCTTTAGTGTCATTGGCACTATTCACCAACCTTAAGCAGTGTAGTAACAAGTCGTAGTTTCTGAATTTGTGACTGACACTGTCAAAATGATGCTTCTTTGGAGAGGATATTTTCAAAGAAAGAAAAGACACCTCGATATGCAGCTTGCCCTGAAAGCCAAGGTGCTCTGGGCATTCATCTCCCATAGGAGCTGTTGAAAATCTCCTATTAAAATGAAAAAACTATCATAACAAAGTCTGAAATACATGAGAAGCCCCTACACCTGCAATCACATAATGTGATTTTAAACAGGAATATATGTTGCTATTCTGAAAAGCATAAGCAAAAATGTTCCATTTCCACTCTGCAGCCTATCAGTCTGGGCTTCTCACATTGGACTATGTATGTTTCCCATCACAGCTGGCTGATTTAAAGTGGGACAAAAGTCCTCTTCTAAAAAACATGTAGTATTTTTAAATTTAGTTCAGAGTGCCTAGGAGTGTCTGAGGGGAGATGTAAAGGACAGTTGTGGAGAGGAGAAACAAGGGCCTGGCCTCAGACATATCACTGGCTGTAATCAGTGAAAAGTGGGAATTGCCCCATCTCTGCTGGCCGTTGCCATTGTAGTCAGTTATACATTGAGGATAACATGGCAGTTTTAAGCATGAAATTGATTGCTTTTCCCAAAGGAAAACCTGAGAGCTTCCTTACAGAGACAGTGCAGAAAGGATGACTTTAAAAAAGCTACAGCTGCAAGGAAGAAAAAAATCCCTGCCTGTATCAGGCTTTATATATCCAAACTGTTAGTACTGAAAAAAGAGCAAAGGACTGGGACACATCTGTTTTCTGACTTGTCCCAGCTTGCAGCTTGTCTTAATAGTTCATATAGAGTCCTAATTACCACTTTAATCAGTTTAATCTGCAACAACTCCACAGGCTTCTGATTTTCCATGTGAGAACAGTACCTGGATGTCCCTTATCTTTGTCATAACCAGCCCTGTTACACTGCTGTGATTTAGGAGCACCAAAATGTGTCTCGATGTCAGTGCATGACATGTCACAGATGATGGCTATCCAAATCATGTTAATTATTTTGCACTTGTACTAGAAGCAAACAGAAGATCATATTGAGAGGCAACTTGCCAGCATTCCAAACTGCTACCCACTCATTTCACAGCTCTGGGACTCTCCTATTCCAAATATCAACTTACACAGCCTGCTGCCAGGAAGCCTGAAGACAAAATGTAAGTTTGAATATTGAAAAAGATCAAGAATAGGTGTTTTCTGTTCTAGAAGCAGAGTATTCCATGTGAATTAAATGTGTGAGATTTGGAAAGTGAATGAAGCATTTCCTTTACTCAAAGGGATCACTTGAGAGTACGTGGGAATCCTCTCACCCAACTGTAGCTGTCAAAAATTGTCATTTCACCCAGGCACCAAGGTAAATGAAAAGAGGTGGGGATCTCAACAGCATGCTTCATCCTTTCTTAAAACTGGTATCCAAGCCCACCTTTTGGAGGTACCTAACTTTTTCCCTTAACTGCAGGGAATCCTAGACAGGCAACCAAGCTGGGGGCATAAATTCTGAGTGGAAAAACTGTTCATAAGCATTTGGGGATTTCCAGTTAAACCAGTTACAGAGTGTAACTACAAGCTGGTTTTCTCTGGTTTATTTATTTAATAAACCTTGAATTCATGAGTTAACAATTTAGCAATGTATGTATTACAGTGTGCTATAAGAGACTAATTTTCCCATAGGAATCTACTGTCACACACAGGAGCAGTTCCCATCTCATACGACATCACCAGAAGGCCATCTTTCACATGCCATTTCTGTTTATCTACTCTTTCTCTGATATATATTGTATTTTCATGCACACCTGCACATAAATAGATATTCATATGCCTACCACATTAAAAATTTCACAGTCAGTGATTCAAAGTAGAAACTACATAAAATAAGTCTGTTAATAATTTCATAGGTTTTTAGAAAATAAACTGCTTAAACTGCATGAAGTGGGGTATTACCATAATGCTCTGAGATTATTCACTGAGTTCAGGTAACTTCAGTGTAAACCCATAGCAGTTCATGACTGAGGCATCAGATCAGGTTTTATCTCAGTATTAAACTCCATGGCATCACCCTGCAAATACCACAAGTCAGAGGAGATACTCCGAATAGTAATTAACCACGAGCCTGGGACCCCCGAAAGACTGATTTGAGTAAGTGAGACTTGAGGAAAAACTCTGAATTTAATAACAATGCTGAAATGGGAAATGAAAACAAAAGACTGACTGTCATGTTCTTCTTAGCTGAGGATAAGGGCATCGCAACTCTTCCCCTAATTTCTCTGCATGCAAATCGCCTGACGCCCATGGTGCTCTGTACTGACGGCGATCGCAGGTCTGTGCCGAGTGGGTATGGGCAGCAAACTGCATGAAGCAGCTCCTTTCTCTTGACAGGATAAATTTGAGGGCAGTAAATGAAATAGCTATAGCTAAGTCGTATTATTGGTTTGTATGCTTACAAACTAAAAATAGATTGAAAGCAAGGAACACAAATTATTATGTTTCATAAGTCATATATCCAGTTGCAATATATATGTCTCTGAAGAGTTTGTTAATATGTCTAAGCCAATAGTTTTGGGTTCACAGTAATTGCATACTATTTATTTACAAATCTTCCCCAGCAGTATGTGCCTGTTACCTAAAGCGATGGAGCAGGTCCCGGTCATATGTCTGTCTCTAAACCTGGGCCAACAGTACATGACATAGCACCCACTGTGGCCTCTGCTCTGTCACTTTGCAATGAGATTCTATGTAGTTTTACTTGAATAACATAAAATAACATATATAATGTTATTTATGTTATTTTCCACGTGAAGAACTCCTGTAAACCTTGCCGTTTTGAAACTCAGTGAGGCAGGCGTCTTAGACAAGCTGAAAAACAAATGGTGGTACGATAAAGGTGAATGTGGACCCAAGGACTCTGGAAGTAAGGTCAGTCGCTGCAGTTCGGGACCTACTATCGTGTTCACAAAGCTGTAGAGGAAGTAATAAGCAAAATAACTTAGAAATAAAATAAGCAGCTGTAGACACAGAACGAAACAGCTTCCTCTTGTCTTGATGGGGGTCATGCTTTAATTTAAAGAAGCACTATTGCTTTGTAAAGTCGTCAGTGATATAAATACCTAAACATTGTCCTACATGTTCAGTGCATCTGTTGAAGGGCTACACGTCAATTTTCTGGTTTTGGGGGAGGCAAGCTGGGTTAGTTGTTTCCTTCCTGCCTAGGGCAGTGGACTTTCCCCATTGACTACTTAGGAAATGTCCCTTCATGCCTTCTCCTTTTGGAGTTGGCCTTCCTCAGCAATTTTCTGAAAAGAAGGAAACACTATGGGAAGGGTTTCCTTTCCTCACTGCCCAGGGTGGCTGAGCCTGCGTCCCTTTGGGAAGGTCCCTGGCTCCTTGAGGAGCCAAGAAAGACTTAACTTGAGCTTTGAAGTGAAAGGCTTTGATAATTAATAGCTTTCTACAGCTTCCAGTGTTTACCTTAGTCCGTTCCCAAACAGTAATCCTGACAGCTCCAGGAAGTGGAGCCTTCTCTATTTCTCTCTATTTGGGGACAAACACAGAAGTGGGTATTTTCTGATGGTTGGGAAGCACTGCAGTCAGTAGTCAGTGCCAGCTCTGTATTTGGGGAGTCTGAAATTTCTCCACAGTGCCTGTCCCTGTGCCAGCCCATCCTGTCCAAGCTGAAAGGAAAGCATGACGTGCATCGAGCACTTGCTGCCTGTGTGCCCCAACAGCTGCCCTGCTGGAGAGTGGGTAAAATTGACCTGTGAAACAAATTTCCAACACATTTTGCTTTTTCTGGCAAGTGCTTTGGAGAAAGGAGTGAAAAGTGGTTAGGAGGACGGCAGTGTAGCTATGCATGACAGCTGGGAAAGCCTCAAGCCACCACATACCTTAGGTCAGGTCTTTCTCAGTCCTGCCTCCTCCTTGTTTGCAAGCACCATGTCAGCAATTGCCACCAGAGAAACACAGTCTCCCCCAAGATCTTCAGAGTCCTCTTAGCCAGATAAAAAGAGACACATAAAGCAGAACCTGGCTATAAGCCCCAAACACCTCTATATATCCATGGGAATTGTTACTGTGCTAGTCTACTGATTACACAATAAATAGTGCCTCTTTAAATTAAACATCCAAATGTTTTTCGTTCTTTGTAAGTTAGAATTTCATAGATGTTACAACTGGAAGTTAAGTAGTCTCCTTACTTTAGGTAAAGATTATATAGTCTGCATAAGAATAAAGCTTTATAAGTATCTTAAGGCGCACAATGTAGTAAATGGAAGTCCATCCTGAGAGAGTTCCTTGAGAACTGTGCTAAAAATGCACATGGATTTCAAATCAAAAATTGCAATTCATAAGTAAGCAGTGAAGTATAGAGAAATGTAGAATAGTTATGTACGTCCAAGAAGATGATAGTTTATGAAATTACGAGTATTTAATAATTTTATAAAGTTTTCACTGTTGTCTCAGTTATGAATGTGTCAGATTTCATAGATTGCTATTTAAAGTTATATTACTGAGCCTTAGAAGTCCATGGGCATGTTCCAGAACTGTATCTATAATAAAATAGAAACAAAATACAATAATCGGTAAGAGGCAAATATATCATGATGTGTGTGGTACAGTGTGCACTTTCAAAGGAAGTGTTTGTTCAAAGAAATAACTTAAGCCTCACATGTTATTTTCACCTGTCATTTAGTCTGGATCTTTTAAATTAACAGCAATGCCTACTACAAGTAGAATTACTGGTTTTGTAAAGATCAAGCAGAGTCTCATCTAATGTAAATGGATTTCTGGATTTCAAAGCTTTTAAAGAGCTTTACATAAATGCAGTTTTGTATCAGTGCTAAAATGTCCTCTAAAGAGACCCAGACGTCGTTGTTTAATTCTCCACTTAGTGGAAATAATGTTTTGCTCTAAGCAAGCAATGACATCCTGATATGTTGGCAAAATACTTATAAAACTTTTTATGGCAACCAGGAAAATTAGGAGCTTAAAATATACTTTATAGATCCAGATAGGTCAGAGTTTGTGAGAAGTTATGTGAATGCCTGTCATTTAGTTTCAGCTCAATGTTGTTATTTATTTCCATTTCCAATGTTTGAATGTGTATCTTGTTCTTCCGGGGGTCCGGTTTCCGGGGTTAACTGTGTCGCTTCTGTTTCCCCAGGACAAGACGAGTGCCTTGAGTCTCAGCAACGTTGCTGGAGTCTTCTACATTCTGGTTGGAGGCTTGGGCTTGGCAATGCTGGTGGCTTTGATAGAGTTCTGTTACAAGTCCAGGGCAGAGGCGAAACGAATGAAGGTGGCAAAGAGTGCACAGACTTTTAACCCAACTTCCTCGCAGAATACCCAGAATTTAGCAACTTATAGAGAAGGTTACAACGTATATGGAACCGAAAGTATTAAAATTTAGGGGTAGGACTTAGGGCCTACTACAGTGAGTGGGTGATGCATCTTGTAACGCAGTGTTGTGACATGTCTGTCTAGTGCTGCTTGCTTCTGAACAGAGCTTTATATTTTGGAAAACTTCAGTGCAAAGTGGTTCAGTTTTTTTGGCTGCAGATGTACAGTATACTATTCTATGTTGTTAATAGACATCTGCATTGCAAGGAATTTTTAACGTAAAATAATAATTTTAAAAACTTAATGTTGTCGAATCAGTTGGTAGATGACAACTATTTGGAATTGTAAAGTATATATTCAGAGGGCCAGTGTTTAATAACTTGATTGGCCAGTCTATTTTCCTAAAGGTTTGCACTTTACTAGTGACAAATTGCTGTAAGCCTTTATTATTCAATGTTGGCCCTAACTGGGACTTTGTTATAAACAAGATTTAGGATAGGCATTGTCACTGAACCTAACGGAAGACAAGGCACTGTTACAAGAAGTTTAAATGTTGTTTTACCTTCTCTCCCTCCTCCCCACCCTATTCCTTCACCCTCCCTTTGATACATGTTTTATGCTAATTGTGTGGCATTTTTTTTCACAAGATCCTGCTTCAGGTCAACCTTTGCCCACTATAATAACCATGAAAAGTCCCTAACCAGTGAACAGACCTTGGTTTTCATCCTCAGCTTTCAGTAACGTACCCCCTTACCTAGCTCAGGACTAGCGTATTTTAGATGTTCACGCAGTGATGTCAGAGGCTGAGCCGCTGATGCTGCAGAGCTGCGTCCTGCATAGTTCCCCTGAGCAGGCATACAGGGATGGTTTACTAATGCACTTTTTCTCATCCATGCAGTGAGTATCTTGCCAACTAATCATTAGTCAAATCAACTCTCTGACCTTTGGAAATGGCATGTAGCAGCAAACTGAGCTTCTAAATATAACTTTTGCATAGCTCCCAAGCTATGCTGGCTGCTTTATAAGTGAAGGTGCATGTAGGACCGTGCCCTTTGGTGCTACCTAAAGCTCCCTTGCCCGTGCAGATAGCAAGCCACATGTCTTGTCCATTAACAAAAAGCTTTAGCTACTTTTTCCTGAAATCACTGAGCCATCCCTATAGTGGAAGTAAGAAACAAAAATTTAGTGAAAGGAGGTGAAGAATACCATTTTTATGTTGTTACCTAGAAAAATTTTTGGAGGAAACAACTGGAAATACAATTATTATTTTTTATTTATTATTTATATAGCGCTGGAGTACACGGCGCTGTACAATAGGTGAAGTGTGCCAAACACATAACAGGTCCCTGTCCCGAGGAGCTTACAGTCTAAAGGCACAGCCGGTACAATACCGAACCATACAGTACAGAGCAAACACAGAGTGAGCAGAGAATGGTGTTTGAGCATGATAGCTGGAGCGCTGCAAGGAATAGGTGGGTTCTCGGAGGGCGAGGGAGGGGTCTTGGCGTGCGCTGGCTGGGAAATGGGCCCAAATATACTGTCACTGTCTAGTTTTCTCTTGTTCCCTGTTGTACAAGAACTCCTGACCCTGGGTGTATTTTCATTGTAAGAGAGCTGCCTAATTTCCCCATCTAAAAAAAATCAATCTCTTAGCTCTGTGCTTTGTGCACTAGTGAAAATGTGAGGCATAGTAGGTGTCAGGGTGTCTCCAAGAGTATGAGCCAGTGTTCATTACTGTGAGCTGGGAATCAGGACTTCTGGATGCTAATATGAATCTCCCAAGTTCACTTCCTACTGTCAGTAATAAGAGTCTTAAAAAGAAATAATCCTGTGAAAATAATTGTGCAAAATGCAAATGAAGAGTTCTTATTCCTTTAAATTCTTTAGTGATGTACCCACAACTGAGAGTGTCCTCAGGTTGATAGAAGAGTCCCAAAACCCGTATTCCTTATCAAGTTTACAGGGTGCAGCTCATCCAAAACATAGTCTTAAAGGACGCAAACAAAAAAACAAAGCTTTCATTCCAATACTGACCTGACCCAACCTGGCTCAGCATGCTAAACATGGCATGACTTGACAGTCCCCTGAGTTCCCACCCAGCTCTGTGATTCCAGTGCAACAAACTCTATGATGACACTTGCAGAATTTATTTTAGCCTTACTGTTTTCTTGAAATAAAAATTAGAGCTGAGTTTTATTTTTTTAAGGAAATATACTAAGTACCTTTCTCTGAATATTGTATTTTTGTGGGACTTGTTGCAATACAGAGAAGTGTTCTTTTAGGAAAAAAATATATAAAAAATGCCCACATTGCATTCTGTTTTATTGATAACTCATGTTTTGGTCAGTGACAACTTCTGATAATCTCTTTAAAACATTTTAGCATGCTGGCATTTAAAAATTCAACCAAAAAATTTAAATAACTAGGATTTTGAGCAAATATTTATAGACTTCTGAAATGCTTCATTCTCCTTATTTGCTGGAATATTTACCTGAGAAATTTCAGCAGGTGAAATTCTTATAAAAACACGATTTTGTGTGGAAGACTGCCAAGGTCCAGTCATCCTCTCCTGGCAATACTTGGCCATTCCTGGCCATGCAGGCAGTGAGGAGTCACCTGTGTGCCATGCTCTGTACGGGGTGACTATGCCAGCTGTTAGAACATGTGCTAGGCCTAAGCTCCTGTTAGCTGGCAGCAGGACAGAGCCCACAGTGCTGGTTACACCTATTTCTGCAGAAATACGTGTGCCTTATGCATTTCAAAACCTTTGATCTGTTTATTTATCCAAGGAGTAAAGGGATCATGTTGGGACTAAAACTTGCTAATACAGAAAGATGTCTGGCAGTTCTAACCTGCATGAGTAACCAACACACTGGTTTTTTAAGCTAACATCAAATAGTTTTAATAGTATATGGTTTAAACTAATATAAATAGCTTCAATAACACACTTGACAATTAATATTCATTACCATGTTTTTTCTTTTAGTGTAATCCACTCAAAAGTGAGTTGCCTCAAGGAAATTCACTTGCCTGAGGCAGCAGAAAATGAAAATCTAGGCCTAATCTGTACGTGAGGTCTAGTCTGTATGATAAAGGACTAGTCTGTATGTGTGGGATAAAGACACCCAGAAGGGATGACAGGCTATCACAATTGCTGAAGGCAGGGACGGAAGTTTGCTTTAAGGAGGGAACAATCCCTTCCTCTTGCCCTGGGCAGCACTTTTGTATTTTTGTGTATCAGTAGTAAGCCCCTAGTACCATAGTTGAGCTGATGCCCTGAGAACAGTGCAGAGCCTTACAGCCTTCTCTCCCACTGCTCTAGGGAAAAGCCCTACTGAGTTCCTCACCCCAAACCCCGAGGCTTTTGAAGGGGTTATCCCAGTATCCAGCCAGCCACCACCACTGCCTCCATGGCCTCTCCGTGGGCTGTGAAGCTCATGAACCATCTTCCAGTTCAGCTCCCTTCTCTTGCTCTCCCTTTGCATGCTGTTGTTTTTAATTAACAAAATTAATTACAAAACTACAAAAGGCAATGGAAAAAATAAGAAATTAATTACAAAAAGGTGAAGTGCTACAGGATGGCTCAGTAAATGTGCAATGCACTTATTTTGACTTGTATATTTCCAATTCCATAGTCAAGATAGAAATATTCATTAAAAGTTCATCTTAAATATTTGTGCCAAAGACACCTCCATGTGACCCGGGTCCTAAAGGAGCCTGAACAACAGAAGAACCCACACAGGCTAGGATATTTGTATTGTACAGACTGAGAATATCAGTTTCCTAAGTTCCCATTTCCCAGTAGGAACAGGGCAGTCAGTGTTTTCATGTGACACACATGACAACTAATTTAGTAAAAACTAATAATATATTTGAAAATACATTATTACTATTAACTGCATACACTTACCACATAGAGACTTTCACAATCTGGGTAATATTTACAGTAAATACCAAGACTTTTCCCTCTCATCCCAGCCTCTCCTGAAACTTTTCTCCTGCAGCCAGGCCATACATCTGAAATTGTAGCAGCACAATTAAGCAGAGTATTGGCCTGGCTTGTTAGCTATAGTGTAGCTTAAAATTGTAGAATCATAGACTGGTTTGGGTTGGAAGGGACCTTAAAGATCATCTACCAACCCCCTTGCCATGGGCAAAATATAACACAGAAACTTATCTGGTTACTTGGCTTTATGGCACCTTCCCAAGTAGAAGTTTGACCTGCTTCTCCTGGCTTTGTTAACTTGTCTGGGTTGTGTCTGTGGTGTGTTGCTGAGTTGCTGGTAATCTCTGCCATGAGAAGAGAGGATTTGTTTTATTGCAGCTTCTTCTGTAATTCTGTGGAAGGCTGCTGAGAAACTGTTTGTTATTCTCATTTTATTTTCTTTTTTTTGGTGGATATCTTTTTATTGTCTTTCTGTCCCGAGTGTGTTGTCAATGGCCAGAAAGCTATATACACTGAGCTACAAAACCACAGTTAGACGAAACTCATATATCCCATACAAATCTGAGCTCTCCCTCCAATTTCCCAGTGTCAGACCCTGGATGTCCATGAACAGACAGCTGATCAAAGTGATGGAGAGATGCTGGTACATAAAATGTAGCAAATTTAGCACATCTGGAGCAAGCTGTCCCTTTTCCTTCCAAGTTTGCACTCTAATCTGATTTGGACTCTCATTCCACCCCAAAACTAAAGTTTTTTTCTTGCCATTGACCAAAATATGTTCTGTGCATTTCTGCAGAGAGTTGCCAGTCCTCAACACCCATTTGCAGTGGGACTCTGGACATGCACTATGTGGAGCTACACCACATTGCATTGTGTCTGCACTTTGCAAATGCATAGATTTTTATTTGCTGTTGGGGATTAGTTGAAGTTTTAGGTACTGTATGGGCCCAGGTCCCCACTCCTTCATTACCTCTGCCTCCCTTTTTATATTTAGCTATTTACCTAATTTAGAATTAGGTCAAGATATGTTTGGTAGCACCCCCTGTCACCAAGTACTGTGGCATCAGGGAAACTTTTCGAAGGGTGACTTCGGGCATTGCAACTGATGATTATCAAAGCCAAGGTCCTTCATCATATAGAGAATGTCATTACTCTCTCTGTAAGCAGAGGAGTTTTCCTGAATTTGGCTGCTTATAAGGACTGAGGTTTTTAGGGTAATTGATTTGGAAAATTGCTTTTATATCCAATCTGGCTGTGCCACAACAGCAAATCTAGTTTTGAGAACTCTTTTTTGATGTAGCTATTGATAGCAATGCAATATTAGACTGGTGCATTTTCATAGAAGTGCACCCAGAAGCAGTGAAAATGTTTATGAGTTTTAAGGAATCTCCCTCATCCCTATACACACACACTCATATATAAAATTAACTTCAGCATATCAAACACAAGCTCAGGATTTCACTGCTACCTCGGAAGGAGAAACCACGCTCAGAGGGACAAAGTTCTAAATGCAGAGATCTGTAATAAGGCAAATAAAATGATTTTATGATGTTTGTCATCCCTTTGCTCCTATGTGAATGCACTCTCCTGTCTCTCTTTTTCCAATTGGTATTTCAGATTGCATCCCTGCACACCAATTACATGAGATAGTTGCATGGACTATAGCTTCTGCTGACTAGAAATAAGATTTCTCCATCAATTAATATCTTAACATGGTATCTTTCAAATCTGTTTCAATATAGCATAGTTTGGGTGCCTGTTGTTCAGGTGTCCATGCTGCATTGGTTGACTGTAGACACCTCCCCTGGTTGATCTTACACACCTCCCCTAATTTTAGTCATCTTGAAATAATTTAGTCTAAACTAGTAATCTTGGCTTTTTCTGTCATCACATGAGAGAGCTCTTTTAGATTTGGTTACTGATTTTTGGATGGCTAAAGTTAGATGGCATAACTACAAATATTTTTTATTAAAAAAAATAACAATTTTTTGCTTGAGTCAATTAGTCCCTAAAAAAGATATTTTGTTCTGTTTTACCTGAAGGTAAAGATTTTTAGATAACAAAAATTTAAACCTTCTTGTTGAAAATTTAGACCTAATGTAGAAACTACAGAAAAAATTATTTTCTCTTAATAAACTACATTTCCTTTAAAAGTTTCTGCCTTCTCTAATTGTAGGAAAATATATATATAAA